TCTCTTTTACTACATCATATCTACATGATCGTGATACATAATTATATCTAATTCCACACTATACTTGGTTAACTTAACTTAACATCAACTTCTAATCCTTTAATTATAATGTACTTACCATTACATAACCTTGTTAGTCAATCCTAACTTTTTAATCTAGGGTATAAACCCTTTTCAAGCCAATCATATACATTCTTTTTCCGTCGAATTTTCCTCAGCGGTATCTTACTCAAGTTTTTAAACTCAGACTCTTACTCATACATAATACTATTCCCCTGTTCCAAACTCAAACGTTCTAACTTTCTTTGTCTTATAAACTGATCATCGATATACTTATTCTTAAACTTTTCTATTACTCTTTAACTTCCCTTAAACATACGAATCCTTATCTCCTTTACTAAATCACATTTACATAATCGAGATACACAACTATATCCATATTTGTTTCATATTTGGTTAGCTTATCCTGACGATATCTTTAATTCTTTTAACTCCAATACACCTTTCATCACACATCCTTATTAGCCAACATCAACTCTTTCAATTGAGTATACAAACCCCCATAAAATCCACCCTCTTACCTATACAATATTATTCCCTTGTTTCAAACTCATAAATTATTGTTCATATTGTTTCATATTTGGTTAGCTTATCCTGACGATATCTTTAATTCTTTAACTCAATACACCTTTCATCAACATCCTTATTAGCCAACATCAACTCTTTCAATTGAGTATACAAACCCCCATAAAATCAACCCTCTTACCTATACAATATTATTCCCTTGTTTCAAACTCATAAATTATTGTTTCATTTATCTTATACATTTGTCACTGATGCCCTTATTCTTGAACTCTTCCACAAATTCTCACCGCATCATTTAATCTTTTAACGTCCTTATGGTGACATTTGTTCACCATATTCTATCTTATCCACATAATAACAAAATTACTCCATATCACTTTTCAGATTCAAAACAATGAAGACCTTCTATCACTATTCGAATATGATTTCAACTTTTTAAAATCAACCTTTGATTTTACGAGGCACTTTATGAGGTGTCCGCTCTTCATCTTACCTGGCCAAGGCAGGTGAATTGCTATCATAATCAGGAATATCACCTCTCACTTCATTTCAAAATCATCATAATCATACTTCTATTATAACTTAACAATCTAATTCTATTAGCAAGACAACATACTCCTTACACTATCAGATCAAAAATTTTCACTCTATGTTGGCATGTACACATTTTTAAAACTCTTTTACCTTCGGTTTAAGCTGAATCAGGTAAACCTTAGTTGTGATACCATTAAATGTAACACCCCAACCCGTATCTGACCCAGATCCGAGTCTGAGGTGTCACATTGACTTTTCAAAACACTTTTCTTTACAATTCAACAAAATCTTAAATTTCATCATTTAAGAAAATGAATACTTTACTTTAATTGTAATCAATTAGATTTAAAAACATATCAGAACATATTCATTCAAATAAAAGAGTACATGCCAACTATATTCAAAATAAAAAATACATCTAATCATCTCTTTTCTGATCTGAACTTTGTAAGGGAGATACTGACCTGTCTTGCTCCTCTTAACTTCTCTTCACTCTTCTAGAACCTACGTGTGAAACACTCACACGCTAAGTCAATGACTTAGTGAGGAATTTATAAACACATAAGGTAACTTTAACTCCTATAAGGCATGAACATATAATTATATCATAACATACAAAATTCATATGTCTTTTCATGTAACAAATACAGTAATCTTATCCTTAACCTTTATGCACATCATATATCACATAGATCAATTCAAAATAAATCAAACATATCATCATACGGTTTCTATAATTCATCTCATATCATATAAGCATATACAATATGTATGTATGTATATATATATATATATAAAGGTATTTGATGTTATCTCTGTCTTAGACTATGTACTCATGTGAGAAATTAAAGTATGTGAGTACTTTGATGTTGTGTACACATATGCTGTCACCACAGCTCTTATAAAGGTCCACTAAGTGGCATATGAAATCTGTGTCCCGAAGGACCTATCATATGTTCCGAAGAACATAGGTAACCTGTCCATATGTTTCGAAGAACATAGGTAACATGTCCATATGTCCCGAAGGATATAGGTAAATTGTCCATATATTTCGAAAGACATAGGTAACCCTCGACTCTTGGCATGCCAACATACCTCTAGCCCTCATGACACATAACATGGGCATGATTATTATTTATATCATTTCACATATTCACATATACATATCACTTTTCATATGATTTCATATTCATATGTCACTTAGGTTATAAAACTCCTCATGTGTTCATATGAAATATATATTGTTCCTCTCTCTTGTTCACATATGTTTCCCATAAATCACATATACCACATAACGCATTATATCTTATATCATTTCTCATATGTTCACAATGTCATATCATATAATTCATAGTTTAGTATCACATAACTTAACTTACATCATATTATCATGTGTTCACATATATCATAGACACTTAACATGTATCCTCATAAAGCTCCATAGATCTTTAGCTTATAACTTATCTTATATGTTCGTATCATCACTTTATATTTAAGTTTCCTAATTGATATATTATTCCCATTTCATTTTATAATTCAATCTTATTTAGTTTTCTTCAATTCTCCTTAAATCATATAACTCTATTATATTAATTCTTATAATTAATCATACCACTATGTACTTGTCTAACTCATATTTCTATTATTCATATAACCTTTACACATGTTTACCCAATTTCTATCATTTCTCATGAATTCACTTTGTTGAGTTAATCGATTGATGGAAATGGCCAAGAGGGGGTGAATTGGCAATTAAAATTTTGGTGGAAGCTTTTGCATAAAATTGAAAATATTTACACAACGATTTAGAGTGGTTTGACTTTCTCAACCAAAGTCTACGTCCACTACCTTAGCTATCCACACTAAGGATTTTCCAACAAATTCACTAATTTGTTCTTTCTTTTGAGGACAAAGAGTAACCTTACAACTCCCTCAAGAATTATACCCCAAATTCTTGATCACACTCTTTTTCAAAGAAAAATACACAAATTTGCAAACTTACAAGGAAAACCTCACAAGGTAAGATGTTTACACAATTCTAGAACAAGAAAAGAACACTAAAAAATAATTACAAATGAGAAAAAATGGTGTTCTTGAAAGCAAAATGAATATTGAAAGGAAAATTGGCTTGATTTGCACAAACTTGGTGTTTGATGTTTTCTCTCTTGTTTCTCTATGATTTCTTGTTGATCAAAGGCTTCAGAACTTGTTTAAATACTCCCTCAATTGATTCTGAATGTTGGGGATGATTAGTGGAGTTAATGGAGCCGTTTAAGTGTGAAAACCATTAATACAACAGCTTGGAGCGTGGGGGGAATCGGTTCCCCTAATAGGTAATCGGTTCCCTAAGTGTAAAATTAAAATATTTTAACCGTTAAATAGGGGGAATCGGTTCCCACCGAGCATACTGGAATTCTCAGAGCCAAACCATTCAGGGGGAATCAGTACCCCCTTGGGGGGGGGGGAAATCGGTTCCCTTTGAGCAATCTAGAATTTTTGGTTTTAAAATGGTTTGAAATATTTTATAAAATCGTCTTGAAATTATTTTAAGATTAAAACTTAATTTAACATTTGAGTAATGATTTAAAATGAACTTTGAAATACTTTGAGTAATATTTTGATATTCGATTTAATATATCGAATATGCTTAGAAAAATCAATTTCAAAATTAAAATTCTTTTAATTTAATTTGTATATCGAAACAACAAAATGTTTCAACAATCTCCCCCTTTTTGATATAACAAAACATTTTAAGATTTTCTAATTTCAAAATGAATTTTGATTTTGAAAAATACTACTCCCCTTTACTTTAACACTACTCCTCAAAAACGCTTTTATCTCCCCCTTTTTGTTAAATCAAAAAGTCTCGTAAAAGATTTTAAACAAGGTTTTGAAACCATTTAGCCAATTGATTATATATATAAAAATACGCTACTAAGAAAACAATCAAAATAGAGATTAGCCATTAGTTTCATAATCAATATTCATAATAAAATGTGAAATGGTAAATTGGTCATATTTCAAAATAAATGATGTATATATTGTAACAAACCAAAATATATATGAAATAAAATATCAAACAGTCATCCAAAAATCAAAGAAAGACAATCCAAAATGTTTTAACAATTCAAGTTCAACCCAAAAACAATCAAAGCAAGATAAGTCTATGCATCCATTGAAGGATCGGGAGGAGGAGGAGCGTAATGAGCTCTCATCTCAAGCGAGAGTGCATCCAAAAGATCATTCATATCTTGTTGTTGAGCTCCCAAGGTAGAGAGCTTGGACTCAACGAATGTGAAGCGCGAATCAATGGACGCATACCATAAATCAAATGTCTCAAAAAGCGAACGAAAGTACGGAGGCATTTGTTCTTCTTGTGGAGCTGGTTCCGGTGCAGGCTCATCATCAGGTACGTGATCATCGATATTGAAGACACCCATTTTTGTCCGGGACTACAGAAAAATTATATTATATTTTATTATTATTATTATTATTTATTAATAATTTTATTTTTATTTTTTATTTTTGTAGGCCCATGTTGAACCTACGTATCTCAACCGTTTCCCTTTGTGGGAAACGGGTTGTACACCAGTATCTCCTCAACTCACGCCATTCGCTGGGAAGTTGGGGAAGTGTTCCGCTAAACTCGTTGCTTCCAACACTCTCAAGATCACCTTATTTCACGATAAAGTGGAGGGTATTGGAGAAGATTACAAAGCGATCCAGGGATATAAATAAAGGGCAAAAAAATAACAGAGGGGGGGGTTCCTATCTACCAGCTCAAACCCATACGATCCTGGCAATAACCGACCCATGTTACCCACCAGTTGCCTCAACAACATTGTACGTATGATCGAAATATTCCTGCTCCTCCGCTCAATCACTTGCTCAAAGGCAAATCCATCTATCATTTCAACTTATTTTATTATTCAATTCTGGTGAGGTTGCACATGGACCAGTATGCGAAAGTAGAGAAGATTGGCGAAGGAACCTATGGCGTTGTCTATAAGGCTCCTGACCGTGTTACCAATAAAACAATTGCTTTGAAGAAGATTCGCTTAGAGCAGGAAGACGAAGGTGTACCTAGCATTGCAAGTAGAGAAATCTCTCTCTTGAAGGAAATGCAACATGGAAATATCGTTAGGCTGCAGGTGCAGGATGTAGTGCACAGTGAGAAGCGGTTATATTTGGTCTTTGAATATCTAGACTTGGATTTAAAGAAGCACATGGATTCATGTCTAGAATTTGGGGAAGATCCACGCATGATTAAATCCTTCCTTTATCAAATTCTTCGTGGAATTTCTTATTGTCATTTTTATAGGGTTCTTCACCGAGATCTAAAACCACAAGATTGTTGATTGATCGCCGTACCGATGCACTGAAGCTTGCTGATTTTGGTCTGGCCCGAGCATGTGGTATTTCGTAGAACATTTACGCATGAGGTTGTTACCTTGTGGTACAGAGCCCGAAATACTGCTTGGATCTCGCCATTACTCGACTTGTTAGTGTGTGGTATGTGGGTGTATTTTTGCTGAAATGGTGAACCAGCGACCATTATTTCCTGGGGATTCCGAGATTGATGAACTATTCAAGATCTCCAGCAAGTAGAAAACCATACAAAACCAAAACTAAAAGTAGATTACTCGAAAGACGAGAAGAAGAGCACAGCGGCGTGTAAAGAAAGAATAAAAAGGCCAGGTTATTTGAGAAACACGTGCAAAATGGATGAAAAAGCAAATTCGTTGGCCTATGAGCGTGAAAGTCAAAGAAACCCACATGGTTTTGAACTTTTGGTAAATTCAACATATGGGTCTCATGGGTTCTTTTTTTATATTTATTTCATTTAGTTTATTACTTTTTATTTCATTTTATTCTTTTCCCTTTTAATTTATTTAATGTTTTTATTTTCTTTATTTTCTTATTTTAGTATTTTTTTTCCTTTTCCTTCTTTTCATTTATTTAATATTCATTTATTAATCTTTATTTAACATTTTTGACTTTTTAGAGATATTTTCAATAATCAAAGGTAATTAATTCGAATTGAATTTTTTAAATTTTAATTTTCGCAATTAAAGACAACCGATAGATTAATTGGTACCGAAAGGGCAGTTCAAGGGTGCTAATCCTTCCTTCACTGTAACCGACTCCCGAACCCGATTTATTTCTGGTAAAACGCAGATCAGGTAAGATGGTGTCCGACCTACCTAAATTCTTTTTGAAATGGTCGGTGGCGACTCTAACCCATTTTCGTAAGTCAAAGCCCAATTCTGGGGTCCACCCGAAAGACGGTCGCGACAGCTTGGCGACTCCGCTGGGGACAGGTAAGTGAGTCAGGCCAAAATTAATTTTCGGTTGTCTTTTTTAGCGAAAGTTATAAATTTTAATTTTAATTTATTTATTCGATTCTAATTAGTTACCTTTGATTATTTTTCAAGTAATTAGTTGTACTGACGTTTTTTTTAATGATCTCAGAATTTTCAAAATTGTCATCTCTAGCTCTATACCCGAGCTCCGAACCCTATTTAAGTGGGGGTGAAAGCGACGCCTTCGTGTGAATTTATTCACCGTGCGGGCCTAGCAAGTAGCCTTCGGGATTCATATACCTTATGTCTTCGTGTGAATTTATTCTCCGTATGGGCATAAGGGAATGTTTCCTCTCGAGTTTAACTTAGTCCACACAAGCCTGTGATGGGTTTAGGACTAAGGGTCTGGTAAGCCTAAGGAGGCACCAGCAAGGAGAACTCGGGTACCGTTTTTTTAGAACCTAACTCGGGAGACTACAAGGAGTTAGAGCCCACCCCAAAACCTCATTTCAAACCCTAGGATACCAGAATTATTTCCTGCTTTACTTTCTGTTCAAAGCATATGAACTAGAAATTTATGCGGTTAGGACTTGTTCAAAACAACGGGATAAAGATCATGTCTGGGTAGGAATAATAAGCATGTGGGGTAGATACCATGTGGGGTAGACTTTTATTTTCATGATTGTTTTTTATTATTTTCACCTCACTAACCTTTTTCATTTTTGCTCTCTTTTATTTTGTTTTCATCATTTGCATCATTTAAAAGAGGTATTGATCCACCAAAAACGTGTTTGTTAAAACATGAATAATCTGCATTAATGGACAAAGGGGTTGTAATACAAGAGATGAAAATGCATAGGACAAGGCGACTATGTGTCACATTCAATCCAGAAGATGTGGTGCCCACAATTGAAGAGTATATCACTCTGCTGCATTATAAAGGACTCAGAATGAACCGGGTCTACGTCAAACACAATGCAAGTCTATCTTTGAAGAACTGACTGGTAGAGGTTGCTGGGGCAAGATGAAGGTTATTGATCTTGGGAGTTCCTTCAAAGACAACAATGGCAAGATGATAGCTGGAATTGGAATTCAAACAAATGACTTCAATTGAGGGCTCCAGTGTCGTATTCGTTCGAGACTTATTGGGCCAGTACAAAAAGCAACTCAACATTTACATGGTTCATCCAGAGAAGCCAGAGCGGTTCGACAGGTTATTCAGAAGCTGTCAGGATATTTTTGTCTCTTAAAAGATAAAGCACTTTTGTCCCCAATAAGGATTATTTATAATAACAGACATGTTTTTGGATCAATGCCTCGAACATTTCATGCATCATGCATTTAAACATATTGTGCATTTTGTTATTTTTTTTCTTTACATTCGCATTATTTTTCCCTTTTTTATTACATTCGCATGTCTCATAAAAAATGAGAACATTTCGATCCTATGACATATAAGGAGCTTTACCAACAGTTGTTTGAAGCACACGTGGTGTCACCATATCCAGAGAAATCCATGAAGCCCCGTACCCCAGGTAGTATGATGAGAACGCTCATTGCAGCGGAGTCCCAGGGCGCACTATCGAGAATTACTCCACAATCAAAAGAATCATACATAAAATACGTAACAAGAATCGGATCGACTTCAACAACTTGGGGGCATCCAAGTGAGGAAGAACATTTCATCATTTGAGACATTTTGTTTGAATTTGTTTTTTCATTTTTTTTTGTAAGGACTTTTAAATAAATTTATGTTACTTTAAAGATGTTAAACAATGAATCACATTTGCAAACTTGCAATTCTTTGAATATCATCTGAATTAAGAAACTCTGAAATGGTTCAAAGTTACATATCTTTGACGAAGTAACATGATTTAAAACAATGAATTTGACTTTACCCAGAATATACACTCAAACACCGTACCCTGCTCTTGTAATTAACCAATATAACATTTTCCTTTCATAAGGTGCGGACAACATGGGGCATCCTTTTGCATATGACATTATTATACTTTTTATTTAAGACGTTCAGTGATGATAATGATCTTCACAGATGGAATAGTCGAGTAAGTGAATCTAGTTTAGGTCAGTTGCTTGAAAATTGAACTCTAAAGATGAAATTTTTACTTTCAACAAACACCTAGACTATAACAGGTTCTTGACAATCTTAAGAAATTAAATCCGTAAAACTGAGCTATTCCACTAAGGCAATTGGTTACAGAGGAAACTCGAAAGCCCTGGCTTTATGAATAGATTGTATTCAAACCATGACATTGCTCGGACACTTGGCAATTCGGTGTTTGCTCCACTGCTTTTGTCAGGCCGAAGACTTTGTGATGAGATGAACCCTTCAGTTAACTTGATAAAAATGATTATAATGATAAGTTGTCCCTCTAAAGCAATTGGTTAAACGCCCCGGCTTTATGGATTCAGCTAGCTAGATAATGGTAAATTAAATCGAATTTATCTAAGCGTAAAGTTTCGGTAAAATGGACTAAGGGAATTAAGGAACACCTGTTATAGTCAATTTCACACGAGCACTCAAGAATTTCATTTTTAGACCGATATTTTTGCACTGCCTTCGTTAGAGGAGCCTACAAAGCTTGAACAAATGGAAGATTTCAGAGGACCGAAATAAAAGGTCTAGTAATTGATCATGCTAGTTGCGTCATTTTGTCCGCACCCAATTGAAATACCAAAGCATGTTGCAATAACACAAAAATGACATTTTTTATGGCTGAAACCTTAGGTCAACCTAAAGCTAACTCATCCATTTGAACGTTTGTCAAAGAGCTGTAACTCTGAAAGAATTAAAAGAGCTCTTGATTCCTTTGATATTTTTTGAACTCACATTTACAATTTGATTCAATTGCGAACAATATTTTACAACATTTTTATAATGTCTCTCTCCTAAAACAAGAAAAATGAGAGAAACATTTTCAAGCAGAACAGTCTCAGATATGAAAGGTCTGTAAAGCCAAAGCTCGGGAAGCAAATGGGGCACGATCCATTCCAATGACCTGATTAACAGACAAAGCACGAGACTCCATCCAGAAGATAACACATAATTCATCCATATTGCATGCATCTTAAACATACTTAGGTGCATCACATTCATCATTTTAGCATACACGTTTTTGCAGCTTTTAGAGTCAAGTTTTGACTTCAGGATGAAGGATACTCAATTCTCAAGTGCCTTCAAAGAAGGATGATGGTTGATTAACTCAGCAGTAAGAAGCTACACCTCAACCGAATTGACATCTTAGAACCAATTTCAGATAGGTTCGAGAACCAGTTCAAAACAAATCTAGTTCGACACAAACTCAAACATGAGCAGTATGTTTCCAGTTAACACTTTCAAGCAAGATTTCATTTCCACGATGAAAGATATCCGGCTCACAAAATTTGGCGAAAGGGGCCATCATTCATATAAAGGAAATTTACAGCACAACTTAAGTCAAGAAAAGTTGTCTATCAACAAACAACTTTCCAATTTCATTCAGAGTCTATTTCAACTTTGCAGCGAAGAAAATTGGACTCCAGACAACACAAGTTCAACTTCACGACGAAGGGACCGCTGGTTGTCAATAAACAATTTTCCACTTCTAGAGCCAATTTCAACTTCACAGCGAAGGATATTGGACTCCAGAAAACGCATGTTCAACTTCACGATGAAGGGACCACTGGTTGTCAACAAATAACTTCTCAATTTCAGAGCCAATTTCAACTTCACAACGAAGGATATTGGACTCCAGATAACGCAAGTTCAACTTCACGACGAAGGGACCGCTGGTTGTCAATAAACAATTTCCCAATATCAGAGCCAATTTCAACTTCACAGCGAAGGATATTGGACTCCAGACAACGCATGTTCAACTTCACGACGAAGGGACCGCTGGTTGTCAACAAACAACTTCTCAATTTCAGAGCCAATTTCAACTTCACAACGAAGGATATTGGACTCCAGACAACGCAAGTTCAACTTCACGAAGAAGGGACCGCTGGTTGTCAATAAACAATTTCCTAATTTCTGAGCCAATTTCAACTTCACAGCG